GTCGTCTTAGAAAACCCCCTCAACCATTTTAACTCTAGAAAACCCCCTTCAATTACGGAGTTGTTGTAGATAACCCCCTCAACTTTCAAAATATTATTTATCCCCTCTCAATTTTTCTCACTTAACACCCCTTAACTAATATAATTTATATCTAATGGTACAAATGATTTGAAATAGCCATATTATCCCTAAGACATTAAAATTTTTTTTTACCATAGTGTTAGTGTTCATTTTTGCTTTTTTCTATTTAAAAATAACTTTCATTTTATTTCAAATCTTTTTTTTCCCCTTTCTTTTTTTAAACACTAAACTTCTTTTATTTTCTGCTTATCCATACTTGTAATATTTTAAACAATTGAAACTTTTAAAAAATATATATTTGAAGATTAGTTTCCTCATCAAAACCCATCAAACCGAAGTATAATGTTTTCATTGGGATGGGCTTTCAAACTCATGAATTTTTTTCAACCAAGGGTATTTTAGTCATTGCACATTTCAAATTAATAATATTAGGGGCGTTTTTTTGGAAAAACTAGAAAGATAAAGGGAGTTTTGTGAGACACCTCATAGTTAAGGGGGGTTAGGCATATTTTGAAAGATGTGGGGGGTTATCTACAACACCCTCAAATTTGAGGGGGGGCTTTTTTAAGATAAAATAACTGAGGGGGTTTTTCTGAGACGAGCCCCATAGTTGGGGCGGGTTTTCTAAAATTAACCCTTCATCATACTATACAATTTTAAGTGTATATTTTCAGATATTTATCTGTATTGCTGCAACTCTTCAAACTTCTCAAAACAGTTTTAAGAAGCAGAACAGAAAACAAGTTCAAAGGCCCTTTTCTAATGTGAACATAGTGAGTCAGAGAAATGCTTACACTGCCTGCTTTTCTTCAACTTCTTCTCCTCCATGCTTTTCTTCAACTTTTTCTGATTCCTAGTGACATTATTTACAGTTTCCGTTGATTGATAACAATACAGAGGATTATACTTCATTGATTTTAGCTCTTCACTGCCCTCTTCTAGCTGCTGCTTCTGATGATTCTGTCAAAGAGTGTTTGCAGTGATAAATTTGACAAACAAATTTACAGCTACTATCTCAATAAAAACCAACCATGAAAAAGTCGTACATAGGACTTCTTATGAATTTCAATCTGCTGCCTGCACACTTTGATTTCCATATTTAAAGAGTGCAGCCGAGACTCGATGGGAACTGTGCATTGCTCTACCATTTGTTTCTGTCTCCCACGAACAACTTCTGGTTGCCATACATTTAGAGCGACAGAAGCCCTCCTGCAGAAGTTGAATTAGTTAAACGATCTAGTAACTAGTAAGGAGAGGAAAAATAAAAGCAAAACGCATATCTAATGAAACTACAACTTCATATTTAAACTCTCTACTTGGGATGCAAAGGTCATTAGAATGGATTAAAACCCAAAAGAAATAAAAAGATCATTCTGTACACTACATTTCCCAAAGTGATTAAAAATGGCTATATACTTTCTGATAGAAATACTAAATAAAGAAATAACGAGAAAATACAAGATCAGTCATGGTAATGGCTAATAGACTTAAACTACCAAAGCTTCAATTATCAAATTAAAAGTGCAAAATGCGCACCCAGATCTACCTATAAGCCTTCAACATGCAAAAAATGGTCAATATGATGACTCTCCTTGGTATAGAAAAAAATTATTCTAATGTATGACACTTTTCTGACATTACATGTGAGCCACACAAACTTTTTACATACAATTTATATGCTTTGAGAATTTATAATGATAGATTGAACTTTGTTCTAAAAAGAATTGAAGAAAATAACGAATGCAAATAATGTCTCCCCATCCGTGCATCGACCAACAACATGCATCGCATGAGACTAAGATGACTTGGAACTCACAATCTTCCTCATCTTGCAGAGAACTTGCAGAAAAATGCCTCTTCCCCTCATTTGCCCCCTTTTATATACTCTTGACCTTTACTTCTATTTGTTACTTTTTTTTCTTTTAAATCTTTTCTCCTTCTCTATCCCTTCAATATCACAAGTCACAACTACCGATTAGTTCCATATCTATCAAAAAAAATTATGCCAACGCACAAAATCACAAACCTATCAGAATCATTAGTACCATATAAACTATCTGAAACCTAATATCAGAAAACTTATGCAGATTTGAACTACCACGCAAGCATATTTAATCTTAGCAACTTGTAAATTATATAAAGTAAAAAAAAAAAAACCAAAAAAACCAACTCCTTGTGTATCTCATGGAGCCTAGTTTATGCTGACATTATCTACAAAACAAAGAGGGGCATAATCCTTAATCCTATAATTGATTGACACTGACAACACTGTTAGATTCCTCCAATTCTTTTAAGTTACTAAACAAGGAAAGGAATAAAGGAATTTATATACTAATGAGAAATAAATGCATAATAGGCATACATCCAAATCTCACAAAATCCACCATGAATAATTATTTTTTTTTTGTAAGAAAAATACTATAAAAATAAAATACCAAAAAAAATCAAGTTTAACAGACTTGGTATAAATTGGAGAAGATTGTTGTCATTATATTTACAAAACTGTCCTCTAGTAATCTCCTATTTCCCAACTATTCGGGGTTTTATAAACCGTTAACAGACACTGCTATTGTCGCTAGGCTAATTTTCTAATAGCTCATGATATTTTTCTGCAAATTTGAAGGTTTATAATACTTCCCTTTAGTAAAAGTAATTTTTAATAATTTCGCACGACACAGTAGTTCACAGTTGGTTTACCTCACCTGACCCTCTCCAAATTATTGAGCTCCGTCAATGCAGCCTGCAATCTCTCGCTCTCCTTTATAATCAAACCCTCCAGCTGCTTCAAATTCAACCTGCAAAGCATCACCCTGTTCTCCGCAGCCAGAACCTTCCTCCTCCACTCAAGCTGCCGCAAAGCCTTGACCCTCTCAAACCTAAACCCCATCAGAAAAACATTAAAAATCCCCACTTTAAAATTAATAACAAGGTTTATTTGCACTTTAATACCCAGCGTAAATCTTTTTCCAACTTTGATCCAGTTCTATTTGAAAAGGGTGAATCTTCGGGGGTATTTGGTCGCAAAAATCCCTAAAAACAAAAGGAAGTTTGTATGAATTGGCTAGGATCGTTAGTACCTGAGCTTGTACAGGGATTTTAAAGGGGAATCTGAAGAGGAGGAGGAGGAGGAGGACGGGAAATCGAGGGAGAGGAGGTTTGACCAGAGGATAGGGTCGTCGGAGAGGCGGCGGAGGCGGCGGCAGGAGATGGAGATTGAGCACAGATCTCGGTAGCTTAGTTGGGACGACGAGGTCCCCAGCTCCATGATTCTGGTCCAGAGCTCGTCGGGGAGGATCGACATGGATAGTTTAGGGTTAGGGTTGGCTCGAGGGGAAGATTTCGGCGAGGAAGAAGAGAACGAAGAGGAGACCCCTCGAAAAATAACAAAAAAAAAAAAAAAGAAGTTTGAATTTCGACAAGGTTTG